GTGTGTGTGTGTGTGTGTGTTATGTGCGTCTGTTGCATGTATGTGTGTTTTTCTATCCATATTATCCATACATTCTTACCTACAGAACCATCGCAACCATCACAACCTAACTCTCACACCTCAACCAAGCAGTGATCCCCACGCCTTACCGAGTGTAGAACACGTGCACGAGTGTGGGACTAGTCTGCCCAATGCGGTGGATGCGATTGATCGTCTGCTGCTCCATCGCTCGGTGTAACAAGGGCTCTACCAGGAAACAATGGGTCGCTTTAACCAGAGTCAGCCCACTCGCCTGTGAGAAGGTACAGATGGTGGTATGATACAACCACGCGATAGAACAAAAATACAGATGGTGGTATGATACAACCACACGATAGAACAAAGGTATAGATGGTGGTATGATACAACCACACGATAGAACAAAGGTACAGATGGTGGTATGACACAACCACACGATAGAACAAAGGTACAGATGGTGCTATGACACAACCACACGATAAAACAAAGCTACAAATGGTGATATGATACAACCACACGATAGAACAAAGGTACAGATGGTGGCATGATACAACCACGCGATAGAACAAAGGTACAGACGGTCGTATGATCCAACCATACGACAACAATACGATAAAACATACGACGACTCTTGAGGAGTCATTCGGATGATTGATGGTTTGTGTGTACGTGTTCTGTATTCACACGTCCGGTATATTAGTTCGTGATATTGATCTCAAGTCTGCAAAAGGATATTACCGCAATAAGAAGTGATACGGATAGGCGTTATTAGACTTAGATGAAACCACTCCCATGAATGGTCATAAGAATAGGTGTTATTAGTCTTAGATGAAACCACTCCAATGAATGGTCATAAGAATAGGTGTTATTAGTCTCAGATGAAACCACTCCAATAAATGGTTATAAGAATAGGTGTTATTAGTCTTGGATGAAACCCATGCAATGAATGGTTAAAACAATAGATGTTATTAGTCTTAGATGAAACCACTCCAATGAATGGTTATAAGAATAAATGTTAATAGTCTTGGGTGAAACCCCTCCAATGAATAGTTATAAGAATAGGTGCTATTAGTCTTA